TGGCTGTCTCTCCTCTCCCCTGGCTGTCTCTCCTCTTTCTCCTGGCTGTCTTTCCTCGCTCTCTCTCCCCTGGCTGTCTCTCCTCTCTCTCTCCCCTGGCTGTCTCTCCTCTCTCTCCTGGCTGTCTTTCCTCACTCTCTCTCTCCCCTGGCTGTCTCTCCTCTCTCTCCCCTGGCTCTCTCTCCTCTCTCTCCTGGCTGTCTCTCCTCTCTCTCTCTCTCCTGGCTGTCATGCCTCATTTTCTCTCCTGGCTGTCTCTCTTCACTCTCTCTCATTGCACTCTCCCCTGGCTGTCTCTCCTCTCTCTCTTTCCTGGCTGTCTCTCCTTGCCCTCTCTCCTGTCTCTCTCTCCTCGCTCTCTTGGCTGTCTCTCCTTGCTCTCTCTCCTGTCTGTCTCTCCCCGTTCTCTCTCCTGGCTCACCTTGCTGTGTATACTAATATTCTTTGATGTAATACATAGCACTACAACCCCCAGTATCCACCAGAAAGGTGTCGGGGAGCTCGGCTCGGCAGTCTCGGGCTAATAGGGAATCATGTGTGCACAGCTAAATAAATATACCAAAATGGAATAAAGGGACCGCCATTCCCCCCTTCCTGATCTACCAGCATCAGCTTTGAGAGCTACTGGTAGATCACCATCTACCTAATGGGCCCCCCTGATCTAATGTCACGTTCCCAGATAATATAGGGCTGCTTTTGGCACAAGAACAAGTTCAGGTTCAGGATAGTTGAATGTTGACCCTCAGGATCCGTTTAAAGCTCATTGCACCCACCAAAAACAATCCTAATTTCACCTTCTCCATTGACTCCAATGCATTTCCCCAAAATAGTGAATTTAACTGGGATGTCCCCATTTTCACTGACATTTCAGGGCAGCAAAAACTCTTTAAGTTTGCATATCCTTATTATAATTTTTCTTGTGACATCCTCTAAAAAATAACCTTGTAGAGTTTAGAGCGTTGTACTGGTCTGACCGTTAAGGTGAGACTCGGAAATCACGGTGGTTCATTCAGCTTTTAGAGCCGATAGTGGCGTTCTAGGGAATGGAATGCAGAGGCCCAATTCAAAGACAGGACAACCTTTCTCTGAATCAAATGTAGACTCGTACACTTATATGATAAATGAAACATTGAAATAATTCTTTAATAAAATAATTTTGTGGACACACATTCCAATTATGAAGTTCAGGTGTTTCCAGTGAAGGTTGTGTTAATACTACAGCACACAAAGACATTTTAGACAATTGTGCTCTTCCAACCTTGTGGGAACAGTTTGGTGAAGGCCCTTTTCTGTATCCCCATGACTGTCCCCTGTGTACAAAGCCAGCTCCATAAAGACATAGTGTGACCAGTTTGGTGAAGACCCCTTTCTGTTCCTCCATGACTGTCCCTTGTGTACAAAGCGACATGGTGCAACCAGTTTGGTGAAGACCCCTTTCTGTTCCTCAATGACTGTCCCCTGTGTACAAAGCCAGCTCCATAAAGACATGGTGCAACCAGTTTGGTGAAGACCCCTTTCTGTTCCTCAATGACTGTCCCCTGTGTACAAAGCCAGCTCCATAAAGACACGGTGTGACCAGTTTGGTGAAGACCCCTTTCTGTTCCACCATGACTGTCCCCTGTGTACAAAGCCAGCTCAATAAAGACATGGTGTGACCAGTTTGGTGAAGATCCTTTTCTGTTCCACCATGACTGCCCCCTGTGTACAAAGCCAGCTCCATAAAGACATGGTGTGACCAGTTTGGTGAAGACCCTTTTCTGTTCCTCAATGACTGTCCCTTGTGTACAAAGCCAGCTCCATAAAGACACGGTGTGACCAGTTTGGTGAAGACCCTTTTCTGTTCCACCATGACTGTCCCCTGTGTACAAAGCCAGCTCAATAAAGACACGGTGTGACCAGTTTGGTGGGGAGGAACTCAAGTGTCCTGCACAGAGCCCCGACCTCAGTACTACTGAATATCTTCAGAATGCCAATTACAGGCCAGATCTTCTCGTCCAACATCAGTACCTGACCTCAGAAATGTTCTTTTGGCTGAATGGTCACAAAGAAAAAAAAACAGCCAAGCTCTAAAAGCTGTCCCAGAAGAGTGGAGGTTGTTATAGCCTGCAAAGAGGGGCCAGCTTCATATTAATGGTCAAGGTTTTGGAATGGGATGGCAAACAAGCCCATATACTGTAGGTGTGATGGTCAGGTGTCCACAAATGTTGCCCACAGAGTGTAGAATCCCCCAAGGCCACTGCCATACCTTGCCTACATCGGCAAGATCAAACAATTATTGCTTAATGTGTGTGGATACTGTTACATATTTAGTCCCAATTGGCAGAAGGTCTGACCTCGGATCCCTCTTTTGATGGAAAAAAGCTTGGATGGACGTATTCCTCCTTTTTTTTAAATTGCCTTAACCAGTGTTATCCTATCACATGGGACAGATAAAGGACAGCATTAAGTCTACCATGTTCTGTACAATGACCATCTTGGGGTGGATGGTGTTTGGTAGGTAGTGGCAGGAGTTCATCTGCCAGGTGTCCAGTATGGTAACAGGAAGTCCTGAAAACACTTCCCTCATCAGTGTGTCCAGCTGCCAGGTTAACCAGTCGCTGCCAATGGGAGGCAGGAAACCCGTGTGTGCGGACTTGATTATCACCTTGGTCTGTGGACTGCGCACCAGTAGCCGGGCCACGGCATCACGGATCCCTACGATCCTCTTCAGATAATAATTTACTGGAAAAAAGACGAAATGGGCTGCGCAATTTATGACGACTACCGAGCCGACATTTTCTCCTCCGATGTTATCCAGCTCGTTGGCGATGTATCTCAGTTCCTGCACGCGGGTGCGATTCATGCAAAGTGGTCTGTCGTGTGCCCGCCACTGCACGAGGTAGCCGTGTTGTGCATCCGTGGCCAGCAGGGGGCCGGGGGCGTAGCTTACGTGAAGGTCCAACATCTGAAGGGCTGTAATCAATAGAAGACACAATAATACACCAAGTCATAAAAAGTATATCAGCGTTTAGCGCAAATCTGTTATCAATTGTAAACTTTTTAGGTGTTTTGTGTATCCAAAACTTTATTACATAGAGTATGGGATGGCTAAACCCCTGTCAGTTTATTTTTTGCTGTCTGTGTCCCATTGGGGAGATTTCCCTTCACTTCCACAGGAAGTGAAATGAGAAGTTAGGAAAATCCCCTCTTAGACCGTTGTCACTGTGACAGGTGTGTCCCCTTTGGAAGATTTTGCCCTCTGTTCCTGGTGACCACTCTTAAAATTTGGATTTCCCATCACTTTCTGTCTTGGTACTGATGGTAACCAGGGTGAACCCATCTAATCAGGACACATTCAGCAGTAAGAACGTGCCAGGCATTCTAATCCATCCCAACTCTATCCAGAAGTTTGGGTTATAGATACAAATTAAAAGCTAAAGTCACCTCTGAGAGCTGAGATGAAGAAGAGAGCCCTGGGTACCAAAGAACATGGAGTGACTCGGGAGATACCGCAATATGGCCACTAGATGGAGTAGGAAATAGATACATCTTAGTAATAAGAGATACAATGTAACAATACCAGAGAACGATGGAGAGAATGAGCAAATAAATGTAACCGTTGCTACAATTTTTTTTTACTTGTTGCTGGTTTACACCAGTCCCATTGGGCTACTGTGAAGAGAACCCTCCGACAATCATGCGTTGCAGCAAAATATTGCAGTGCACACACTTATGTGCAATGCATCACCATGCGTTGTGTTGGGACGAAGCTCTAATTCCCTCATGCTAATTTGTTACATTGCATCTCTGGTTACAAAGATATCCTATGATCCTCAGCGCTATCAAGTGGCCATATTGCGGTATTTCCAGAGTCACTCTCTGTATTTTGATACTCAGGACTCGGCCTCCTTTATATATGTGATCTGAATGATACTCAGGTCTCTCTCTCTCTCTCTCCCCTTTATATATGTGACCTCCCCCTCCCCTCCGTCATTTTATTTCTGTACCGGTCATATAAGTCCATGATGTCACACTGGAAATGGCGAACGAGCGGCGGCCGCCGGGCACCTTCTGCACAGCCTTGCCGCCATCTTTGAGTGTATCTTGGTATACACCAAGATGGCGGCGCCCAAACATATGGGTGGCGCCTTCTTGGTGTATACCAAGATCCTCTCAAAGATGGCGGCGCGCAAGCGCAGAACGTGCCAACGGCCGATATGGCTGCCGCTCCTTCTAGATTTTCAGTGCGCAGTTTCGGATTCGGGGGCTCGTTCTCTCAGAATCTTTGATGAAACAAATGGAAATGTTTTTTGTTTTCATTTGTTCAGAAAACAGAATTCTTTTTGCCCTGTTCGTGTCTACCGCTGACCCTCAGGGCCAAAAACCATCCTTAGATCCTTTATTAGGGGAAAATGTAAAACTTTTATATGTATATCTACTAAATTAAAATGATTTAGGATTAAATATTCAGATTTTTGCTGATGCCTAATTGAAACAGTTATTTTTAGAAGATTATAGACCTGGAGGGATGACTATGAGCTGAATGTCCTTTCTTTTCTCTGATTGGATCAGTTGACTTTGTGTGTGGCCAGCTTGGCAGCAATGTGACTTTGGTTGAAGGAACATTTGGGGAAATGAGGTTAGAATTGTACGCTTCATGAACACGATCATTTACTGTAACAATCCGGGACTCACATGGAACAAACTTCACCAGATATTCCCACCATTGGCGCAGCGTCGAGTCCCCGAACATGTACACGACTTTCCCCTTCAGACAGGATGTGACTTTAGCGGGTGTGGGGAAATCCTGGCTCCTGCAGACGCGGGAATGCCACTTGTCCTGGTAATAATACCCTGACGGGTCTGGATTTGATAGACCGGGTCTGCAGGTTCCTCTGTCATCTGAAATAACATCATCAGCATTATTGTTATTGTCATGATAAATTCAAGGGTCAGTTCACCCAAAACTGATACGGTGAACGCTGCAGAGTGCAACCAACTAAAGGTTTCTTACTTAGAGTAGTAAGATCTAGACATGTGCAATTCATGAGGATCAGGTAAGTATATCTTTTTTTGTTTTAGGCCTTAGACCAAAACGAACACTTAACCCTTGCAGTGCGGGGTAGCTCTGCTGCAAGGGTTAAAGTGACACTGAACTCCGGAGATAAATCTTAAATTACATTCAAGTCCCTTCACTATGAACAACAATGTATCTTATTTGTGTATCACTCGGCTGTAGTTCCTCCAATCATCTCTGACACTGTCCTTCCTTCTGGAGAATGGCTACTTTGTTCCCTATGGTCCCTGCGTGTTGTAAAGTACTCACCGCTCCAAGCGCGCTCCCGGGATGGACTACAACCTCAATACAAATCAGTAAACAAAACATGAGGTTGTAGTCCATCCCGGGAGCGAGCTTGGAGCGGTGAGTACTCTACAACACACACAGGGACCATGGGGAACAAAGTAGCCCCCCTCCAGAAGGAAGGACAGTGTCAGAGATGATTGGAGGAACTACAGCCGAGTGATACACAAATAAAGATACATTGTTGTTCATAGTGAAGGGACTTGAATGTATTTTTATGATTTAACTTCTGAGTTTAGTGTCACTTTAATGTTTAAAGGAGGAGAACTATGAGGTGAGTGCTTTTCACTCCTCCTCATAGTTCTAGCCGACCTGTGACAATGAGACTGTCACAGGTCGGCTCAGTAGATCGGGAGGTGAGCGAACACATACCGGCGTTCGCTCACTTCTCGATCCTGTCACGGCTCTCTGCCGTTTCTAGATAGGCAGAGCCAGCTGTCACTCACGCAGCTGGGCGGATCCAGACATAATTGTCGGGATCCGCTTCAGCTGCGGCTTCTCAGTATACCGCTCGCTGTAGCTCGCGGTATACTGCGGCGTCTCAGTATGCCGCGATAGCTTGCGGTATACTGAGCTTAGGGTGATGGGAGTACACTAGTTTGTGTCCTCCCGTTACCCTTAGGAGAACTATGGGGAAAAGCCCTAACCCCATAGTTCTCCTTTAATATGCCTGTAGTTCTTTAAGAACATGCGAGCTGAAGAGAAAAATACCTTAGGAACATTAAAATTAGATCCTGAGAACTTTTGATCAAAGTGGAACATATGCTAAAAACATTGGATCAGAGGAGGAAATACCGTAAGAACATTGAATTAGAAAAGAAAATATCCTAAGAGCACCCAATCCTAAGAGAAAATACCTGAAGAACATTCAATGCCAAGAGGAAATAACCCAAGAAGAACATTCAATTTTGCCTAATTTGCATTACAGCTTTATACGTTGTGTGAAAAATCTGTGAAGGAATGCTGGTTAATCCAACGAAGAACAAATGTACTGGACGTGCAGTTTCGCTGGATGAATTGCTATGCAAATGTTTTATTATTAGACTTACGTGCACTTTTAGCCCCATAGGAAATTGTCCCGATCACGAGAGGACCAGTTGGTTGCGTTTGCCTTCCGGGCCAAAAGTTCCCAGTCCTCCCCCGTTCTGAAGCCTCAGAAGAACCCAAAGAAAGGCACCAAGAAGCCTTCTAGACGCTGCCTATAATAATTACCACTTTTGGGTGGACTGACCCTTGAACAGTATATTCTACTCATTTATAACAAATATGTAGCACAAGTGGAGGCCTTCCCATAGAATTTTAGATCTGAGCTCCATGTGGTGCTCTGGATCTTACCAGTAAAGTTCCTCTGGGGTAGGACAGAGATGTTTGGCAGCAATGATGAAATCGTCTGATTAGTGACGGAACTGGGAGGATAGGAAAGAAGACAAAGATCAGGTGAACAGGATTCCAGAATCATCGGCACAATATCTGAAGTAAATATGGATGTAAATGCTAAATTGATGTGTGTGGTGTTCTACCTCGCTGTATACAGTTTTCATAAACAAATCATTATTGTGATTCTGTTCCAATGTGTCTTACCTGGACTTCCTGCCAATGACATCACTTCCTGTTGAAGGTTAAAAGGAGAACTATGAGGTGAGTGCTTTTCACTCACCTCATAGTTCTAGCCGACCTGTGACAATGAGACTGTCACAGGTCGGCTCAGTAGATCGGGAGGTGAGCGAACACATAATGCCGTTCGCTCACCTCTCGATCCTGTCACGGCTGTCTGCGGTGACAGGTGGAGGGGCTGGATTCCCCCCTCCGATCCGCCAGCGCTGACTGGCGGAACGGACGGGGAGGGGGCGGGTACAGCTGGCTCTGCCTCTAGATAGGCAGAGCCAGCTGTCACTCACGCAGCTGGGCGGATCTCGACATCAATGTCGGGATCCGCTCCGGCGTCTCAGTATACCGCGAGCTGTAGCTCGCGGTATACTGAGCTAAGGGTGACGGGAGGACGCTAGTTTGTGTCCTCCCGTTACCCTAAGGAGAACTATGGGGAAAAGCCCTGACCTCATAGTTCTCCTTTAATGCCTCTTAATTAACAATAGCATTGCCAGCCTGCTGTGTGATCTCCTTCATTTGGCTGGAGTTTCCAAGACTTTCTACTCCCTATGGCACTCGTCATCTACCTCCTCAATTGGATTTAGGTCATCCCTATGATTGCTATGATGGCCTTGTGCCTTAGACGATGCGAGTCAAACGTTGAAGACAGCCAACATTTTTTTTTTGCGCTCATCACTAATGAGATCCTGACAGGTTTTAATCCAATCCATGGCTGAGTAGAACATTAGAGTTCTTTAGGGTTTACATAGGTTTTCAGTATGTGAAAGACAGCAGGGAGCCTGCAGTGGGTGTATTTGGGGAGTTAGGTGAACCGGTTCACTATAGCAATGCCTGTAGGAAAAACGAAATCCCCGGGCAGGTCGGGTGTCCCCTCCATATACACTGAGTGGTCAGTTTATTATGACCACTGGGGGGGGGGGTCATAATAATCTGGCCACTCAGTGTATATCTCAAGGTTTAATTTTTAATTAATTATGACTGGGAGTGTACTGACTTCAAGTGAGCACGTTACATCTGGTCAAGTCACAACCCCCTTTAAAAAAATGCACTTACCTCTGTAGAAACTCTTCCTGCACAGAGGAGTAGTTAGCATAACGGGCACTAGAAGAGTGTTCGAGGTACGCACTGCAGGGAAAGCCCTCTGGACGCTCACAGAACCATTCCTCCTTGGTGTGCGAGTCGCGGTAAGTACACACGTCCTGTCCGGTGGGACGGATATTACAGAAAGCTCTGGCCTTTTTCCCGTTATGGAAGAAAAATCCGTAGAAGAATACCTGAGCCAACAAAACAGACATTTTCACATTGATACTTCTCATCCAAAAGAACTTATCACCATTCTATCCAAAACTGAAAAAAAATAAATGTCTTTGGATACATTTTAACCACTTGCTGACCGCGGTGTTACACGCCCTTCCTGTCCCGGCCATTTTTCAGTATTCAGCGCTGCGTTACTTTGACATTTATTCCGTCATGCAACGCTGCACTGAAATGAATTTTATACCATTTTTTGGGACCAGATAGAGCTTTCTTTTGGTGGTATTTAAATCACCACTACAGGTTTTTTTTTTCCCCCTATATAATGAAAAAAGTCCAGATTTAAAAAAAAAAAAAAACCTGTTCTCCCTACGCACTAATAAATCGCAAAAAACTACCATAACCGACGCTTTAAAAGCTTTTACAGCTCATCAGTTTAGTGTTATCAGTGATTGATGACCCTAGAATTATTGCTCTCACTCCGACGTTCGCGGCGATATGTAACATGTGCGGCGCAATGGATGTAATCGTCGTTTTTGCACGTAGGCGGACTCGACACATGTTTGCGTGTGCCTGTGGGGGCGGGGGACTTACATTTACATTTTTTTTTATTGCTTTGATATGTGAGTTCATTTTTTTTTGTAACATTAATGTTTTTAAACCTTTTTTTTTCACTTAACTTTATTGCTATCACATAGGGAGCAAAAAAAGCTCCCTATGTGATAGCCAATTTGCAGTGACAGGTCCTCTTTATGGAGACATCAGGGGTCTGTAAGACCCCTAATGTCGCCTAGGGACCCCCAGAGAAGCTGATGAAGCGGCGACCTGCTTCACCAGCTTCTCTCCGGATTCTATACCGGAGAGTGACACTGAATGCAGGAAGTGATGTAATACACATCACTTCCTGCATTCCGACGAGGAGATCAAACGGAGCTCGTGTACTGAACTCCGTTTGATCTCCGGCCGCAGAGCTGCTGTGCTGGTCCCGGGCTCACCCGCATTCAAGAAGCCGCTGTCCAGCCGTTTAATTTCAACGGCTGGACAGCAGGTGGTTAAAGAAGCTCTGCACAACATCAGAGTCATGTTCTCATAATTTACATCAGAATTACTTCTTTTTCTTCTAATACATTCAAGACATCTGAATGGACAACTTAAAGGAGAACTATGAGGGGGGGGAGTGCTTTTCACTCACCTCATAGTTCTAGCCGACCTGTGACAATGAGACTGTCACAGGTCGGCTCAGTAGATCAGGAGGTGAGAGAACACATACCGGCGTTCGATCACCTCTCGATCCTGTCACGGCTCTCTGCCGTGAAAGGGGAGGGGCTGGATTCCCCCCTCCCCGCTCGGATCCGCCATCGCTGACTGGTCACTCACGCAGCTGGGCGGATCCAGACATAATTGTCGGGATCCGCTTCAGCTGCAGCGTCTCAGTATATAGAGAGCTGTAGCTCGCGGTATACTGAGCCTAGGGTGACGGGAGGACGCTAGTTTGTGTCCTCCCATTACCCTAAGGCTGGGTTCCCACCTAGGCGGTTTTCCGCGCTTTCGTACTCGCGGAAAACCGCTCAAGCAGGGAAATGCCATTATTTTCAATGTGTATGGTTCCCATCTGTGCGGTTTTCCGCGAGTACGAACGCGCGGGAAACCGCCCTACGCCCAAAGAAGTACATGTACTTCTTTGGGGCGTTTTGGTCGGGCGGTTCCATTGGGATACAGCCAAGTATCCCTCGGAAACGCGCGTTT